CAGGGTTGGGAGGGTTACTTTTAAAATGTATTCCGTTACAGTTACAAATTACTTCATTAAAAAAGTATTCAGTAACGTAATCCAAGTACCACAATATAAAAGTAATGTAATCTGATTACTTTTGGATTACTTCAAGTTACATATGTAAATAAATCAAAAAAGCAATATCTAAGTACTTTAATTTAACTATGACTTTAAAATTTAAACTAATAAAAACTATAATAAAAAATATTTGAAACTATTAAAAATCGTGTGTTGTTTCACCATCTAGATATTACAGCCCGTATATTTACATAAAAGGCTATGTAGACATCTAGTGGCTATACAGTTTAGTATTACAGTTTTATTTTTATTATTTTTTTACTTTAACATGTGCAAGTAAAAATAAATATAGTTTATTCACATTAAAAAAATTACACCATATACATATTAGTCTATTTTAAAATAAGCCTACATGTCGAAATGCATGTGAAATGCTATGATCTTTTTTTATTTCATTGACTGATCCGGGGTGTGGGGACTCTCATTAATTAATCAATTTTTACATTTTCAGGCTCATTTTTCGCTAGAAAATGTACAACTGCAGTCATGCACACCATGGAATTTTAAATTACTAACAAACACTACATTTTAGCTAGCATGATGATTTCCATGCTAGTCGGACTCGTACCTGAAAATGTTCAAGTTGGTTGAGTAGCCTTTGTTAAAGCAAGAGTCTTCATGCATAGCTTACGCTGTACAACTATGTTATTTCCTTTATCCTCTTTGAAAACAAAATAACTGTGAAATTTCCAGACATGAAAACGTTTTTCCCAGTAGTAAGCATCGTAATTAATTTACTGTAGCAGCGTCTCAGTCATCCCGTGTTTGAGAAGAATAATTGTAGACGGGTGTTATTTGCACACGCACCAGCAGGCGGCTCACGTGAGTCAACATGTGTCAACAGAACCAGGAACTATGCAGCGCTAAATATATAGCGTTATGTCAAAATACTCATTAATTTAATTTTAAATGAAACAAAAGTAATCCTGATAGTATTCCCACTTTTTACAAAATGTAACTGTAATCTGAATACTTTGTTTTTTGATGTAACTGTAACGGATTACAGTTACTAGATTTTTGTATCCTGATTACGTAACGCCGTTACATGTATTCCGTTACTCCCCAAAACAAAAAATGTTTCTGAAGACAATCACCTATTGCACCTTTAAACCGCATAAACACATTTCATTACACCAAATACACAAAATAATGTTCTTTTTAGCAACATCATATGACCCCTTTAAATGGATTGCTCCCAAACTTGATATTTTTGGAGCAGATTTATTTATTTATTTATTTTTATGCTTGATGAGGTACGTTCCAATTCACTGGGTTCCTACGCAATGGGAACACATTGAACACACTTTTTATCTAAGGCAATTTGTGTTGAATTTTAAGGTAAACTTCCTTTTAAAAGTTTGGTGTACATTTATACTCACAAAGACTTTTTTGAGTATTTATTTGATCAAAAATACAGTAAAAACAGTAGTATTGAGAGAGATATATATATATATATATATATATATAATCTGATTCTAATATGCTGATTTGCTGCTTAAGAAACATTTCTTTGTTATCAATGTTGAAAACATTGTGCTACTATTTTTGTGGAGACTGATACTTTTTTCAGGATTTTTTGATGAATAGAAAGTTCAAAAGAACAGTATTTTTTTGAAAATAAAAATATTTTGTAGCATTATAAATATTTTGCTGTCATTTTTGAACAATTGAATATGTCTTTGGTGAATAAAAGTATTAATTTCTTTCAGAAATCCCAAACTTTTGAATGATATTCTTTATTGAAATTCTCTAATTCTATTTGGAATATTTGAGTTTGCAGGACAGTAACAAATATTTTATTACATTGGATCATACCTTTTAGGGTGAAAAGAGAAGCACATTCTGTATGTCACTTCTACTTTCAATTGTATTCTTTTCCGAATTTTCTGAGCCTAAAGATTAAGCTTGAAGAAACCCTTGTGTTTCGAAGGAAATCTGCTTTTATATCCAACAAATATTTGTCTAACTGTACTTTTGCACTTCCACACAAATGAGACAAAACTTTGTTGCAATATCGACTGTGTTTCTTGAATCTGAGCTTGTGCTGAATTAGTGCTTTTGTTTCGCCAGACTGAAGGTGGAATTCTAATTCTATGGCAGAAACATATATTACCTCTGGAATCAAAACCTTAATGGGAAATCTGTGATGACTGAACAGCCCCCTCACCCCGCCACATCAATCCTCTTTGTGCAGCTTAGCGTTAGATACACATTATCTGATTGCACGAGTCGAGTCGACGCCAAAGCCTTGCATTGCAGAGCAGGATTGGGGGGCCGATTTCACTGCAGACAAACCCAGGTATTGTGTGTTTTCAATGGAAGGAACAGTAAAAGACACCTGTCAAGGTTCACTGAGCCAAATGGTGAACACCTTAGAATGAAATCTCAGTGCCAAAACCCCAGCGAAGGGTAGAAATACAGCTCACTCCCATTCACCCATGCACAAATCTACAAATATGTAGTGTCTGTGTCAGTGTCACTAGGGTCACAAAAATACCCTTGTTTAACACAGATATTGTCTGTTGTCTATTCCAGGTGGTGTTTCACAATGTAGATGCCCTTACGGAGAAATTATTCCCCATCGTGGAGGCCATGCAGAAACACTTTAGTGCAGGTTCCGGCGCATACTATAGTGATGCCATCTTCTTCCTGTCGGTGGCCATGCATCGCATCATGCCTGCAGGTGAGCTGCGTGACTTGATGTGTAAGTTGTTAATAGGCATAAGAAAAGCAACTGCAACTTTTGGTTTGCTGTTTTTTTTATGTTGTTAAGTTGTGCTTATATTGTATGGTAAAGCCGTGACAAATTTCTGCTTTGTGGACAATAAAACTAAACTACACTTAAAAGGTTCAAAACACTAGCATCTAGTGATGTAACGATTCGCTCAACTCACGATTCGATTCGATTCACGATTTTTTTTAACAAAATGAGATTTAAGACAAATTATAAATTAAATGTGTCCTTTTATTATTGCTTGGACAAAATGCTGCACGTTTCTTTGTGAAACTGAAATAACACTATAATAATATACTAATATAGCACTTCAATATTATTGCTCTTTTGTTGGTTTTGATTGCTTCTATTGTCCTCATTTGTAAGTCGCTTTGGACAAAAGCGTCTGCTAAATTACAAAATTTAAATATAATGTAAATGTAAATAACAAAACTAAATTGAAATTTTAAAACAAGCCCCAAATCAAATAAATAAGTAACACAAATAAAAGAAATCTCTTCATATAAACAAAACAAGGCTTTGTCTGTGCTCTTTACATTTCAAATTAGAGGCAAACACTGCATTTTAATCATGATCCAAACAAAGATGCTGCATACATGCAACATGAGCAGTTTTTAATCTAAATTAGATTGTATAATTTCGAAATTTGAAGCAAAAACAGAATGGTTTGACTTCAGTTTTGTGAAACTATACATACAAAATATCTGCATGAAACAGAAACGGCAGACGAGCTGAACGAGACGCAGACTCACTCTCTGCCAGCAGGTGGCGCTTAAGGCGTTTCCTTGGTTTCCGCTGTAAACAAAGCAGCGCTGCACTTATGAACTTTTAATATGCATTATATAGAGGCAAGATGAAAAGAAAAAATACCATCTAAACTTTTCTAAAGACAGTAAGTTCCCCTCAGACATGGGTTCATATAAACTCCTACCCCTAATTGAATCGCGATTTGTTTAGCATCATGGATTCATATAAACTCCTACACCTAAATGAATCACGATTTGTTTAGCATCTCAACCGATTTGAATCGTCACATATTTGAATCGATTTTCAACCGGCTCGCGGTTAATCGTTACATCCCTACTAGCATCTCCAAACAGAATTGCAAGAGTAATGACTGCTTCCAAACATCGAACCACATAAAGGCCGTGATTTTTATATTGTTTATTTTTTTTAAACGTTGAGAAAACAGGTTATTAAATAAAACATTTAAAAACAAGCTAAATTATACTCTCTTACTATTACTATTCTCTATTATTATATACTCTTATTATTATTATTATTATTGATTGTTTTATCTTGTCTATTTTTTAAAACCTCGAGAAAACAGTTTATTAAATAAAACTTTTAAAAACAAGCTAAATTATACTCTATTATTATGATTATTGATAAAAAATAGTAATTATTATTATTATTTTTGTTGTTGTTATTATTTTTTTTCGTCTTGTCTCTCTTTTAAAACCTTGTGAAAACAGATTAATAAAACATCTGAAAGCAAGCAAAAAGTATACTCAAATTTATACTTTAATAATAACATTTATTTACTATTACTATTATTTTTTTTGGTATGTTTTTTATGATTTTTTTGTGTATAGTGTATAACTCTTGCTCGTTTCTAAGTGCTCTATTAAGTCATATCTTTTTAAGTGAATAAACGACTATACTGTGGCCTCTGTTGGCTTACAATACTGTTTGTTTAAAAAAATCATTTTTGCAATTTTGCTGTGAAGCTAGTGTCACATAAAGTCTTGTCACCTTTAGCACTTCCAATTTATGTTTACAAGTTATAAACTGTCTGTTTTGTAAGTCATAATTATTATCCTGATTAAATTAGGACTAAGCCACTTTTTCTTAACCATATTGTGACCCAACTTTTCCATTTCAAAAGTGGCAGCTGCAGAACATTCGGTGTTCATGTAAACTTCCCCTTTACACTTCCTGCTGCGCATTTTAACCGTGTTTTCTAAAGGTCTGGCCCTCAATCAGTCAGGCCGTGAATGGATTTGGAAGCGAGGCCGCTGATGGTGTCAGATGTGCCGACTCACTCACAGGTGCTGAAGTGACACATGGCACGGTGCTGGGCAGAAAGGATGGTTTATAAATATAGTTTGTTCCAATAACATTTTATCAAATTTAGTTTTAATTATTCCTTTCCATAAGTATGCCCTATTCATACTCTATTGTTTTTACAATTAACAGATTTATTCTATTTGAATAAATTCATATTAAAATAAATGAAATATTTGCAAATATTTAATAATTATGATTTTTTTTGTTACTTATCTACAGCATTATGTTCTTGATTTAGAGTAACAGACATTACAAGGTGTTAAAATTAATGCACACCCAAAATGAATGCAAATGCTTTGCATCTTGAGTAAGCATTATCTATTTATTTATTAAAGCTAAAGTCAGTAATTTTTTACTGAAAGGTCTTAAAGTGATAGCAATTATTAAATGGAAATCAAAAGCATTTTAAGTGTGAAAAATAGTAATTGTAACATTACAGCCTACAGTCTCTCCCTTGTTGTTCACCTTGTTGCTCTGGAATAGTTTTCTTTGGCCAGTGACCTTTAAAGACACTATGCATGCATGAGTTCACTCACCTCAGTCACCACTGCCCTAAAGATGTCAGATGGCACCTGTGGAAAATAAAAAGTCTGAAGAGCAACAACACTTAGAACCTATAGTGGACCCTGGGAATTGGAACGTTTAGAATGAATGCACATTCTACGAACTGAGATCCACTGAAAACAGATGCCTTCACTTGAGTAAGGTCTGCAGGGATGCTCGGGTCGATTTGTTTGGAAATTTCTCTCTGGCGTTTTAGTCAATTCTCACTGAGGAGACATAATTCATATCTTAAATGAAATGCTTTAGAAACTGAAGATTCGGAAATCGATAGCGTGTTGCTCAATAGTGGGGGTTTTGTTCCTTTGAATGTGTAGTTTGTAATGTCTGTGTTTAATATGTGCACCTTACTACGTCAGAAACTCTCTCCTGAGTTGTTCACTTTCCAGCTTGATTCAGTGGGTCGTGTAAAGCCTGTGATTTCACGATTGAGCCATTTATATCTGCAGGGGTGCCAAAACATGCTGTCGAAGTGACGTGCGTTTGTTTGTGTGTGGAAAGGGAGTCGAGAGCGTGGCCTGTAGGGAGAATGAGTCTTGGACTTTTTTACAGTTGAGTTGTAACTTGCACGCTTTGAATTTCTGCGTGAGACAAACAATTTGCAGGTTGACAGGAAGTAGGTCATCTCACTTTGTTCTCTCATTGAAATGGAAATTATCTAGGTGTGTATATGAATTCTCTCAAATATTGAGTCAAGTCCTCACAATTGTATCCATTCCTTTTGTGAACTGGATAAGCAATGCACATTCAGAAAGTTTAGATACTTATGTGCAGTTTGTCAGCGCTGTCTCTTTTTATTGTACCCTTCTGTTTCTGTGATCCGATAAGGCATAAATGCATTGATCCAATCAGGCAAATTCACATTTAGCATCTTGTAAACATTTATCAAGAAAACATTTCACTGGTAACACTTTACTATTTAGTATTTACACAACACTTTTTATGTTTGTGTCAGTCAGATTTTTAAATATGTTTTTGAAACAAGTCTCTAATGCTCATCAAGGCTCCATTTATTTGATCAAAAATACAGTAAAGACAGTAATATTATGAAATAATATTACAATTTAAAATAACTGTTTTCTATTTTAATCTATTTTAAAATGTAATTTATTCCTGTGTTGGCAAAGCTGAATTTTCAGCATCATTACTACAGTTTTCAGTGTCACATGATCCTTCAGAAATCATTCTTAATATGCTGATTTGCTGCTTACGAAGGATTTCCTCTTATTATTAATGTTGAAAACCGTTAAAAAGGTTGAAAACTTGAAAAAGTTTTGTGGAAACCATGATTATTCATTATTTTTTTTAGGAGATCTTTGAGTAAAGTTCAAAAGTACATTTATTTGAAATAGAAATTGACATTTACTGTTACTTTTGAATAAAGGTGAGTAAAAGTATATTTATTTCCAAAAAATAAAAAAATCTTAATTTCTGCATGTACAAATTTTTTACATTTTATGGAGTTTATATTAACACTGAACATAAATAACAATAGTATATTTATGTAATATGTATGTATTAGGGTTAAAGACGAAAAATGGTTTAAGCATAAAATATTAAATTGTTGATGTTTTTCCCCCCAAAAATAAAAAAAAATCGGTTTAATTTAATTGCAATTTTGTTTTTGTTTTTCTGAGCAAAAAATAAATATCATACATTTTCCCCTGATTTACAGAAGAGACCCACTAAAATGTCATTCAGTTGTAACAATCTTGTCAGGCATATTTACAACAAAAATCAATTTATGACATATTAAAAGACTAATTACTTTCACCCCAAATACTAATTAGTTGTAATTTTAAATTTTTTTAAATTTGCCACTATCCTAGGTTTTGCCCATTTGTCAGTAACAATTTTTTACTCATTTAAAACACAATCAAATTTAATAATTGTATATATTTTAATATGTACACATCAGAATAAGTATGTTGTTTGAATTTTTACATACATATTGAGTTACACTGAATGACAATGTAACATTATTTCAACCAAATTTTGACATTTTATCCTCCAAAAACTTATTTGAAACCTTAAAAGTAGACACTTTAAT